ATGAATTTAAGGCTGTGATAAATCTGAAACTACCTTTCCTCTCTTTTTGACTTTCGTTTTCGGTATTGCGATGATTTTCAAACTCTCCACTTGGTGTAAAAAAATCCTGCTAGCATAAATGAATAATTTTAACATACAGGGCACCTCATAAATGTTTTTATAAGATAGATACCTTCAATTACCTACTACTGTTAATCCTAACCAACTACTTAAATTGTTTTATTTATTTAAAAAACAAAGTTGCAAAATAAAAAAAAATACTGTCCAATAAAATTATAAAACCTGCCAACCTGAGCTACTTCGTTAGTACAGATACGRCTAGTACGGGGACCGTACAAGAACTTGTCACGAAGTCTTCTTTTTCTTAAATTTAGCGGAATATTTTAAAACAAATGCAGGTTAGACAACAAAAATTAAGAATCGATGTATATATAGAACTCCTGTAATACTACTAGCCCTCTCTCGCAGGTTATAAATGTCTAGAATCTACTTCCTGTTATTCGCCAAAGCTACTAAAGAAGCATGTACTTWAATTTCTAAAAAAAGCAAGCTAATCAGTGCTGATATCAGAKGTCGTCTTACCTCATTGCTTTTTCCAATTTGTTGATATATTTTTTCGGTACCTATCCAAGCCAGAATCACATTCAAAATCATAATTTTCCCATTCATCGTTTTCGTCATTCTGAATTCATAAATTAGAAAAAGTGAATATTATACCAATGGTAATGATACAATCCTTTTTAAATCAGAGCGCTGCCATTTTTTACTGATCATTTTTTTCATTTTCTCCTTCATGTTACTGCTTGTTCTACATTGCTAATCTTCAATTGCAATTACTTTAAGCATACTACCTTTGTTTATAAATATCATGAATATTTTGAACAACCATCACCGAATTAACATACTTCCACGAAGCTCGAATCGTCATCATCATTCTCTAGATCTTCGTCATTCTCCAAAGTGACTGTGCTGGTGCTCGAATTATCTCCATGTATTTTACCAGACAACTAAGAGAGCGTATTAAGCGACTATCAGTACACAAGTATAATTAAAAGCACTTAGCAGTAATTCATAAATACCTTTCTATCCATCAACTTGTCAGCTAAACGAGGATCACAACCAATCGCTTCTAACGGAAGAACACAACTGAATAGCAGAGAAATTCCAAGCAGCAGCTTSAGAAACCTTAAAAACTTTATTCGATTCATAGCGAGACAGAGCGCTCGTAAGCGTAACTTCAATTGAAATTCGAAATTGGCGCCAAGAGACAGAAACCGGATRAGCATGCGTTTGGAATAATGTCAYGCATCAATAAGTTGTGTTGTAACAAAAACTGTGATATGTCATATGTCAAACAAGCGAAAACCTTAAAACGATTTATAAGTCTTGTCCTGCATTTGGAATCTTTGGATTCCGCCGTGAGAAAACATTTGATTACAGCTTCAAATGAAAGATAATTTTTGACCAACAAGAAGTTTTAAACGTTGCACTTGTTGGCCATAATTTACTCGTTTCCGGTCAAGCTGGAACCGGAAWGTCATTTCTCGTAAAGGAGATACATAGAAGTCTTTGTGGTCTTGGCAAAAAAGTATATGTGATATGCGCAAGTGGCATCGCAGGGACAGTGTACTCCGACTTGGACACCACCGTTATGACTGTTCACTCTTTCCATGGCTTAAGAACTGCTGATTTACCCTCTAAATCACTAGTAGAAAGGTCAACCGGTAGCAATCTAGTGTGTGAGCGAATAAAGAACGCCGATACTCTTATATGGGACGAAATTTCCATGTCCAGTGAGCGCATTTTCCATCTGKCAAACATGATTCATCTCGACGTCAACGGTGGAAAAACTGTCCTTCGTCCATTCAACGGCATYCAGCTGATACTAGTTGGCGAATTTTTACAACTCAGACCAGTACCAAGGTACATCGACCCAGGTCATTTTATGTTTAACTCGCCTATTTTCAACAAGGCAATAACTCATCRGTTTGAATTGTTGTCAATAATGATACAAAACGACCAGGATGAATCATTCAGGAAATGTCTAAAAGAGGTAAAAGTAGTCTGTCATATTATTAAAAAACGCTGTGCATATTTAYGATGTTAATAAATTATTTTTAGCAGGAAGCATCCACAAACCAAATAAATAAAAGCAATAAATACCCACCTTGACGAGCAATTCAATATCATTTMMTGSTATGCATGAATAACAAATAAAAATATATAAGTAAACCAGAAACTGAATAAATATTCCAATAGAATTATTRCTGCAAATACAGGTGAGAGAAGGTTGGTGTTCGCCTGAAACAGAAGCATTCTTCAAAAGTCTCAAACGAAGATTATCCCCTGACGATGATGCCAATGCCCTTCACATTTTMTTCAAGAAGATAAATGCACAAGTCTTCAATCGAAGTAAGCTCGATGAATTGCCAGGAAATGAAGAAGGATATCCTGCCATAGATACAGGCAATACAACCAACATGTCATGTCCAAGTGAGCCACTCCTGGTATTAAAACCTGGTTGCAAAGTTATGTTGACATGGAACAAGAGCACCCATCTAATCAATGKTACGGCAGGAACATACATTGGACAGGCAGATGACAATCACCTTATGGTTCATTTTTCTAAGTTGGCAGGGTACGTGTGAAGCGTGAGCTGTGGCAAAAAAGAGGCAAGCTTGGAGAAATTGTTGGCAGTCGTTTGCAGTTCCCAATAATACTAATGCATGCCATCACTGCCCATAAGTCACAGGGTCTAACATTGCCATCAGCTGTATTACACTGCAGTAAGGAATTTGTGCCTGGCCTGATATATGTTGCCCTCTCGCGTGTCCAAACATCTACTTCACTTCAAGTATTGAATTTCAAGGCCTCTCAACTTACACGCCTCCCTCAGTGCTGTATTGATGTATGTAGTGATTCTGCAGTATTGCAGGAAAACTTCACATGTTGCCGAGTAAAGTACTGAGTCGTGATGACATCGAAATTGTGGATGGTTTCTACAGCCATGATGTTGAAGATGAAGATGCAGATTGGCAGGGAGTAGAAGATGCAAGTATTGCTTGTGACAGATTTGTAGCCTCCTTCTATGAACGTAAAGATCCTGATGAGCTGTTTATAGATCTTGAAACTGTCTATCAAGTGCTATTAGAGTCACAT